TGGTCAGTTCAAAAGCCGTTTCGGTGTCCGGGGCAGGACTCCGGGTCAGCTGCAGCGGCCAACGGGTGTGGCCGTCCACCCAAACGGTGACATCATCATTGCCGACTATGACAACAAATGGGTCAGCATCTTTTCAAGTGAAGGCAAGTTTAAGGTAAGTCAAGCTTAATCTTTACTTATCTTTATTCTATACTTGGACTGTCTGTGTCATAAAGTAATGTAATAAAACCATGATGTAATTTCCACTGATAACAATATAGCCAGGTATATGTTATCTATAGTACACTCAACCATAAACACTGGTATTAAATGGGTAATATGGTGTTCTAATACCACCACTTGTATTTTTAAAATTACTCTTTTATCACATTATCGGACCTTCACAAGCGGTGACTATTTTCTAGCAAGTTCAAACAGCTGAAACAGGTGCACTGTTTGCCCTTCCCTTGGCCGTTTACACTTTTCACACCTCATTTGCACATTTCTGATGTGTTAAGAGATGCACACATGTAGGTTTTCCACTTCCCTTTTCAACATCTGTTTCAGTGTTTAAGTGCTGATGCCGACTTATGAAAGAGAGTGCACAGTTTAAAGTGGAAAATAATTGTTTTAGCCTTGTGCTTTAGTTAGACAGTTGGATAGAAGTTGTCCTGATTCCTTTCCCGCAGTTGCAGCAGAATTGCAATGACAAAATTTAAGATACACTCATGTTCATTTAGAGCAGCCTGCAGCTCATTCACTGAATGCAGGCCTTCTCTCAAACACTGCTGACAAGATATTCACCAAACTATTTATGTCTGTAGTGTGAGTGTGTGTATTCATGGGATGTTTCATTTTGCACTCTTTAACTGTGAGTCACATATAAGACAAGACAGAATATTTTAAGGGGAAGTTGTCCTTTGGGGATTGTATAAATGTCATTTAACGCATACATGTAATATTACACAATATAATTTACTCTGCTAATGCTACTGTTTGTCTAAGTTTGTACACATGTACTGTAGTATGTGATGAACAACAGATTCACAACCGTTGACTTCTCCAGAACAAGATCGGCTCCGGGAAGCTGATGGGCCCTAAAGGTGTGTCCGTGGACAGAAACGGCCACATCATCGTGGTCGACAATAAGTCCTGCTGCGTCTTCATCTTTCAGCTCAACGGCAAGCTGGTCACCAAGTTCGGTAACCGTGGCAACGGTGACAGGCAGTTTGCAGGTACACTCAATGGTAATATGTGCACTGCCCCCTACAGTCTCTCTCCCACCGGCTCACACCTGCATGTGGAATGAAGACGTATGCCAAACCAGGAACCATAAAGATCCCATTATCCTTTGACTTCTAAAGGGTTTTTTCAAAATAATAGATCAAATTAGAATTTTGTCATATCAGTTTAAAACATATGATATGACAAAATATATATTTTCTTTTATGTGCATTATTAACTCTACTGTCCTAAAACAGCATGCTTTTGTTCTGGTATGAATATTTTATTACAATCTTTGTTTTGTTTTTTGTCATTAAATACATTTGTCTACTTATTAACTTGCATGTCCTCTCAAAACACCTGCCATGATGTTGTTTTTTTAAACTACTTCTGTCTGATTATGACAAACAACTCATATCTGAAACTCATATCTGTTGTCGCTTTTTTGATTTATTTATTTAGGCCCTCACTTTGCTGCTGTCAACAACAACAATGAAATCATAGTGACAGATTTCCACAACCACTCAGTCAAGGTAAGTGCAGTATCGGCAGTAATGGAAGCGTATTGTAGGTATACAAAGTCTAGAGCTAAAATAAATGACGATGTACTAAAAATGGTAGCTTGCATGATAGACTTTTTTTTACTGTGTTGGCTTACATTGCTCACTGTTTGCTTTTAGTAATATTATTATCTCCATGCTATTATCCTCTTGAAAACCAAAATATAGGTGTTCAACACAGAGGGAGAATTCTTGCTGAAGTTTGGTTCTAACGGCGAAGGCAACGGCCAGTTCAACGCCCCCACAGGAGTGGCAGTGGATGTCAATGGAAACATCATAGTAGCAGACTGGGGCAACAGCAGGATACAGGTCAGTACAAGTTTAATCCCCTGCTGCATTCACAGTTTCTGTTTGTCTTTATGGCTAATTTCTGCACCTTGCAGACCAAATGTTTTAATTGAAATTTTAATATTATGCCATCATCTAGCACGTGTAAAAATTACATTTGTACATCGCTTTGGACCAAAGAATCTGAAGAATATATAAATGTGAATGTGAATATCATGTTACATCAGTCATATTTACAGCTTCTTTATATAAAACAGATTTCTCTCTCTTCTTCAGTTCACATACTTACTAAATAATTAGAAAATTAAAAAAAGGTCCCATTTTTAAACTACCACTTAAGTCATTGTGAATCATCTTTATTTATAAAATCATTCTGACTATTTTTTTTTATTTTAAGCTACATTACATAATGGAAATATTACACTTTTACCCAATTTGAAGTGTCAAAATTACCAACTCTAAACTGATCCCAAAAATACATTTTTCAACAGATAATGTCAAATAAACTAATGCAACTTATATTCAATTTCACAAAAAGTGTGTGTTTCGTGTTTCAGTATTTCTAATTGACTTGGTTTTGCCAATACCACCCCAATACTTCACACCATGTATCTCTCTCTCAGGTGTTTGATGGCAGCGGTTCCTTCCTGTCCTACATCAACACATCAGCAGACCCGCTGTACGGCCCGCAGGGACTGGCTCTCACCTCTGACGGACATGTTGTGGTTGCAGATTCCGGCAACCACTGCTTCAAAATCTACCGCTACCTGCAGTAGTAGCAGCTCTTCTCTCTCAGCGCACAAACTGTACAGTGTATATATACTCACATGCACTCATTAGTATGGAGCGACTGCACTTCATCCGCTCACCTATTCATCCTTGAATCGTGCTATCTGTTTGACTGTTCTCCACCCGTGTGTCTGTGGCATCACTTCTGACACTGAAGAAACAACAGACGTGAATATTTGTGGTTTGAATGAAGTGTGAGGATCTATGATATTCACAGACGGCTGCTGCTGATTGGTTGTTTGAGGAGTCACACATAACCTTGTTAATGTACCATCTTAACTATGCTGATTTCAAAAATAAAACTTTAGTATTGTATATATGTTAGACCTTTTGATTTGTTGTGATATGGCAGGAAAACTGGAAAATAATGCCATTGCACTTGTTCTTAAAAATACTGGTTGGACACTGTGTTAAGTGAAGATGTACCTTAGTCGCCTGAAAAATAATGGGTATTCTATTTATAGTTCCAGTAACTGCAACTTCCTGTTAAATGCTCTTAGGAGTCCTCACATTTTGCCTGTTCACTACAAAAGAAAAATCTTCCACCTACTGTAGGTAGCAGGGTATTTTAGAGCATGATTAAGCATCTGTGTGCATGCTGTTTTTACTGAGAAACACCAGAAAAGCTACTGTGCACTATATAGAAATCTATTTCAGGCTGATACTTAACTACATCAACAGAACAAACTTTAAACTGAAGCACTATTTCACTAATACTTCTACCTGTCTGTGAAAAGGACTAGTTAATGTTATATGTCATCACTTTAAATTAAATGAACACACCTACGGTTACTGAATTATGCTGATAACTTCATTTAATTGGTTTTACAGAAAACAGAGTGTTTGTGTGATTACGTGAGTGTGTTGTGATCAATTACGGTACCAAACAAAAGCCACTTGATTTGTCGACTTACAATCTGCCGTGTGTTCGTGCACGCATGTGTGTTGTGTATGAAGCCTCTTGACATTCTGACTTACAATCTGCTGTGATTACGTGCAAACATCTTTGTTGCAAAATTGGAGTAAATAGCTGAAAATGCCGAAAATAAACTCTGTAGGGTGCATCAGCCCTCGCTGAAGGGGTTTGTTCATCAGACACAGCTGCAGAACTGTGATCACCTTCACTCCTTTCCATGTGCTCTTATGTCTTTCAAAAAATAGAACTGGTAGAGCTACTAACAAGTTGTATTTTATTTAGTAAAAACAATTTGCCTATCCTCTGAAAAAGATGCAAAATGTAGTTCAACAGTTGAGGGGTATGTTGTAAAAATGCACTGCACTCCTATTAGAAAGCCTTAGTCGAAATCTGTTTGTCTTCAAGCACAGTTTTCATTAACTTGTTGTCCTGAATTTGGTCATCCATTTTCTACACAATCCTGTTAAATTATTTGTTTTCCATTGTCTTGTTTATATTTGTAATGCCAAATGGAATTAAAGTGCCCATAGTAAAGCATATTGTTTGATTTTGTGTTGCTGTACTGTATCGTATTAACTCCATAGCTGCTGAAAACACTGTGGTATGATGATATGAAGTTGTTTTATTAGACTAGCATAGCATCTATTAGTTTGCAGACTGACACAAAGCATGTTAGCAATTTGAACTTTGCGATAACAATTCTAAAAACATGTTAAGGATCACACATATAGTATTTCTCCCTGCAGTGATAATTCATCAGGGTTTTCAGTATGATTGGAGATATAAAAATAAAAAAAAACCTGTGTAAATGTAAATCTGCACAGCAAACTTTAACTTATGTTTTATTTATTTTATTGTCTCCCCACAATGTAACAGGAAATCAATAGTTTGACAATACAGTCCCCGTTTGAACAATGTATTTATAAGACAGCAGGGGGCGTCAGACAACTATGAGCTGAACGATAACACCAATGCTGCCTTCACTTGTAGTCGGAAATAATCATGACTGCAGCTAACAAGACACTCACGGTCCAAAACTGTAGCAAACATGAGTTCCCCGGGTACTTTAAGTTCATAGATGCGACGTGGAAAACTATGGAAGCCGCATTAAAAACATAACAGTATGCGCGGTTAGTTGATATATGCTAAAAGGATAGACTGTTTTAGAATGAAAACTCAATCTGCGTTGCAACAAGTGGAGTTGGAGTTTTACGAGGAGCAGCGAAGGCAGCAGGACCCCTGTGACACTGTACCGCGGGAAATTCAGTACCGCGTGAACGAGTGTTTTCCTATTTTGGATTATAAACATCAACAGAACAACATCAACAAAACAACACCTCACGCCTGAAACCTTAATGTTAGCGGACGCTGCTGTTACAGCCAACGTAACAAAATGGTAAGCGGACGTTCACCTTTACCTGCAGTTCATGTGAGAGTGCTAACGTTACCAGGCTAGCTCCTGGCTAAACGTTACATCATCAATACGTTACCTGTCTGCGTGTCACAGGATCGATATTAGCCCATTAACGCCACCGTCAGTCAACGAAAGCAGCGCTCGTGTAACGTATCTTAATGGAGGGCGGATAAATACAGGAGCAAGTTGAAGGAAAGGTGAACTTCAGCAGAGGAGCAGACCTTAAGTTGACAGGCAGGTGTACAATAATAAATAACAACAACAACAAGAGTTTGTGTCTTTCCATTAGTCAGGTAAAATGTAAACATTGATCCTGGATTAATGGAGAACTGCCCGGTGCTGGAAGCCATATTACAACAACACTGGCTAATGTAGAAGCCATTTAACTTACAGTCTTTATATAAGTTATATAGAAACATAGGGATCAGTGTCGGTGCAATACAAACGTGGAACAAGGAAAATATAAGATGAAAACAATCACTGCAAGGCAAGAAAGGTAGAAAATCGACAAGAATGTATGAAAAACTGTATAGATAGTAATAGACATTATGCACAATATGATTATTTATTTGAAATGAAAGCTGTTTGTGCAGGAATGTGCAAAAGATCACAGTTTTAAGTTTAAAGAGTATTAGAATATAGCCTATAATGATCAGTGTTGGGCAGTAACTCATTACTAGTGATAATATTACCTTCTCCAGTAACTAATACATTTCACTAATACCCCCACTAAAACTAAGTAGTTACAACCTTACTTTTCTTGTCACCCCCTTTACTGATTTGAAATCCTACAATCTAGTCCCATCCTTGGAAGAGTCTTAGATTCAGCAGCTGGAAATATTCCCATTACTTTGATTTTAGCAAACAAAAACAGATGTTAACCGTCTTAGGTCTGAATTTTGAGGAGAAGGGACACAATTAGTAAATATAAAGTAGTAATATTACATTTGCAAAGAGTAAGGAGTAATAACTTAAATTTTTTTGAGTAACTTACCCCAACACTGATAATAAATATGCATATTTCAAAGTGCTGCAAATGGTTAGATGCTCATATTTTGTAAATACTCTGAAATCTTTTTACGTTCACTGCCACTTGCGCGTTATTCTGTTACTGTGTAATATGGTGGAATATCAGCCGCCGTTACTGAAATCATCCCGGCCTCACCTTACCTTAAACAATCTGTTACAGTCAAAGAAGAAAGGACTAAGTCTGGAGGAGAAGAGAACTCGCATGATGGAGATTTTCTTTGAAACGGTGAGTTTTGCCACTGCAGGTTGACCGCATAACCGTTTAAAGTAGGAACAGTGTAACATCCCCTTTATGCCGCCTTGATTACAACTGCGTGGATTTATAAGCTGATCACTATACTTCATAGTCAGGATTGTTTTATGGATTCTGTTATCTTTATTAATTATCTTTATTATCTGAAAAGGGGGTGTTTTGATTTAAGGTCGCTAATATTGCTGCCCACTTTTTGCGAAGGAGACAGAAGCTCACATACAAACTACCACCAACACATAAATTGTAACACCCACAGTAACACAGAGGAGATTTCACTGTTCTAATTTTAAAAAGCTGTTGTTTGTGGGTTTTCTGTCCCTTTGATACATATACACAACATCTGCACACACAACCACACAAATACTTTTCATGACTAAACACAAATTAAACGCAATGAGGCTCCCTTAAATAGATGAACCATGAATAACACCTACATAACTGGAAAGGTAGAGTCATTGATGAAAATACATTTCCAGAAAGCCAAAACACTGAGATCCTGCTACAGACTTAGACAGATGTTAAAGATGTTAGATAGATGTTCCCTTTTCTACGATACCGTGATAAATAAAATTGTTCTTCCTTGAATGTGTTCTCTCATCCTCTTTCTAGAAAGATGTGTTTCAGCTGAAAGACATAGAGAAGATCGCCCCTAAGACAAAGGGCATAGGTGAGTGATTATCAACAGTTTTAGAGGGGAAAACGTAGTTAACGTGTCCAACTGGTCAAAGTGTTTAAGATTGTTTAACATAATATGAATGTCTTTGTCGTGTGTGTTCCCTTGCTGGTTTCTAACAAAATAAATGAAACATATCTGAAGGTTAGTAGAGACGTCACTATTGACTATTTTTAGAAAAGTCAAACACGAACGTGGGAGCTGAGTCTGAACAGGAGACACTGGAGTGATTTCTAAGGGAAAACATAATGCACTAAAATGTTTTTTTTATAGATATTTCAGTGGTAATAGACAGTGAACACTTTAGCCAGGTTGGTTTAGTCTGAGCACCAAACATCTCCACTTGTTTTGACTCTAACAAAACCAGTAGAAAAGAAAATGAACTTCTGTATTCAAAGATATAAAAGTATAATTTGTTTTAGAAAATGATTACTAGAACTGTAGTGTGTTTCAAAGAGCAATAAATGGGACAAAACAGTCACCTGCACGCATTCCTGAACACGTGTGGCGACATGCTTGCAAAATCACCATGGTAACCAGGACTCGCTGTTCGCCATTTTAACTGTATTCAGTCTGTATAAGCAGAACCAGACCTATCCCTGGCAGTAATCCTATAGTGCAGAGAACTGTCGAAAGCTTTTAGTTGTTAAATAAAACATATTCCCTCAACGTCAACATGGAGTCTGACTTTAAATTTATTTAATTTATAAAAATACAAACTTGGAATTTTAAGTGCTAGACCCTACAAAACTATGTTGTGTATGTTTGGGTGAACTGAGCAGGGATTTTTGTTTTAAAGTGGACATTGCATTAATCTGGAGGAACTGGATCGTGTTGCTGTGATTAAAAGCACATGTTTTTGACCCCCTTACTTGGGCATGGTGTAGTTACAGAGTGGTGGGGGAAGGGGGCAACAAGAGATCTGCATTATGGGCACATAGTCCTCTAGAAGGGGGAAAAAATATGAGAAAAAGAGGCCAAGAGGGTGATCTCAGAGTGCTAATAACATCCTGGGAACCATTAAAAGGCGGAATGGTTTGAAGTTGAAAAGAGGCAAAAAGCTATTTGAATAGGACTGGAAAAGAGCGTACTGAAGTCAGGCACATACAGAGTTTGGTTAATCCATCCAGAGTGTTTTTCATTTTCAAATCCTCGTTTTTATTTTTCGCTGCCGTTCGACATCCTCTCAGGACTCAGCGCAGCTCAGCCCCTAAACACAGCAGATAAGCTCTTTCAGTTTCACAGTGGACCGGCTGAGCAAATGTGTGGGAGTATCACATTTCACCGCTGACACTCTTCAAGATGAAACTCCTGCTCTATTACATCCTCTCATGCAGTGTTCTCTCTGATAAGTATGAAACGGCCAGATAGGCTGCAGATGTGTGGGTTTAGTTTTTGTGAACATTTGAGTGGTAAAGCCTTGCCAGTAATAAAAATGAGAGCTCATGCTGGCTTGTATTTTCTTTTTTTCAAATCCTCAATAGAATGCAATATTATACGTAACCTCGGATACATTTTATATTGCCTAAAGTCTTCTGAGCTTGTAAACAATCATACCTATACCATAAATCAGTCGTCCACAAATCAAATCAACAGTCCACAAATAGGATCGACTGCTAGGATGTTCAATGGTAGAAAATAGAGGATTGTGAATCTTTCATGTGGAAGGTGTGCTTTTCTCCCTCTGCTGCTTTAAGCTCCCATGACTGTGAAGGATGTGCTGCAGAGTTTGGTGGATGACAACATGGTGGACTGTGAGAGAGTGGGTACATCAAACTACTACTGGGCCTTTCCCAGCAAGGCCCTGCACGCTCGCAAGCACAAACTGGAGGAGCTGCAAACACAGGTGAAGGGGACTCAGATGCAGTCTGACCTCATATCTCAAAAGCTTCAGATGATACTGAACAAAACACAAAGAGAGGTTGTTGTTTTTTCTGTTAGAAGACTCTAGTTTACAGTAAATGACAAGGCCGGCCCAGAAAACACTTCTGGTAATAGTGGAGAAAAAAACGGGAAGAAAACGCAAATGAGCGTCTGAGTGCAGGCAAGTTCTTAGTTTATTTCTTAGTGATTAGTGATTAAATCTAATTATTTTATTAGTTTTTCCCGCCCCCGCCCC